GGAAGCAATTCCTCAATTTCACTCTGTGCCTGAACTTCATTTCCTACCTTCTCATCACGGAAATTGAGAAACTGCTGGAAAACTTCGCTTTCTGAGACAACAGGATGGCGACACATCCTCGTCATCCAAGCTTGCAGTCTCTCCATACGCATTTTGATAAATTCTTCTTCAAAGCGCCCTGTTATATATTGAACAGTAATTGTTATATTTCTACTCTAGTACCCTCAGCTTTTTTTTTAATTAAAACAGAATGTGTAATTAATCTGGTGAGTTATTAACCATTTAATGACTCTGAACTTACAAAAGAAACACTATGCTGAGAAATCAGAAGAACCTTAAGCTACAGTATATTAGTTACTGACTGAGAGTATGACTCCTTTTAAAAACAGTTAGGAAGTGTTAAAAAAACATAATATCCACTCACAAGTCAAAAAAAAAAAATTGAACACCACTTTTGGATGGAAAAATTAGGCACCCAGGTGACCCAAGAGAGAAGTCAGGCTCAGGCTTGGAATGCAGACATTTTTCTGATACAGTCTAGTAAATCCTTGGTCAATGTAAAGCTCAAAAACATTGGAGAAAGAGGAACTACTTACTTTTCAAGTTGTTGTGTCCTACCTAACAGAGCATTTTAAATTTGATTGCTCAGATACAAACAGCAGATTTTTTTTTAAAAGCTGTATTTCTATCAAGGTAGGTTAACATGGGGGGGGGACACTAAAAAAAAAATCTCAATTATTGATATGTATAAATCAGTCAGAATACATACATGTAAGACTCTTCACTGATTTTTAGGTAGTGAAGAGATTTTAACACAAACTATTTAAATAAGTAACCAATTTCTTTTACATCATCACTGTGTATTTACAAGACCCTTTTAGTTTTAGCATAAACTGTGTCTTCTTGATAGAATCTTTTCCAATTAAAAAAAAAATGCTCAACATGAGGCTTCTACAGCATATAGTGAATAGGATGTATTTGAAAGGAATGAGAGATTCTTCCAGCATCCAACTGTTCTAATTTCTATAGCAGTGCACGTGACAAACCTTGAACGTATGTACTCTTTTAATATCATTCTACTGGATAGTTACTATAGCAGCAGCTCCACAATGTTGAGGGGTCTTTTTTGGTTTTGGTTGTTTGGGATTTTTTTAAAGTTACAAATATTAAAACTAGCAAGACTAGCAGTTAAAAAACACAGCTAGTGAGAAAGGAATTTTGGGTATGGGTACGTTTCTTGCAAATTGGCTAGGAAAGGAAAAAAATCAACTACTATGGAAGAACTATTATATAACCTGCAGTAATACCTGTTCCACTCAACCTACACTGAAATCTCCATAGCATAAGGAATGCAAGGCAACAGGAACAGTAACATCTGGAAGATGCACGCTGGTCATTAGGCATATCATCACCAGCAAAATCAAGATCCTGAGCAAAGTCTGTCTATTTGTAAAGAGTCTTGCTTTGCCAAGACTAATGGACAGAAATACTTTTCTGGACATTCTTCAGAAAGAAGTCTCCTAAACACAATGAAAAATAAGCACCATTTTTTCAGTGTTTCCGATAATGTTTCAAAAAAGAGAGGAAAAACAAGAATACCTTTTTTTTTTTTGAGGCAAGTTATCCTCTCCCACAGACACCAAAGACTAAAATCCACAGGCGAGGTTTAACTGTGATGCCAAACTCTCAAGTCTTTTAAAACACAGTTGTAATAAAACCTCAAGACCCCATCAGGTCTTCTGATTTTCTCTTACACTCATGTTTAAGGGTAAATACTGGTGAATTCTAAACATGAGAATAAGAGGAGGGGAGGAAGTTGCTTCCTCACTTTTCAGTTTCCTCGGCATTTATCCCAGCATCTGCATCAATGCTTAGCTTTCTTCAAACACAGCAGAGCTGCTGCATTTTCAGACACAGACACATTGCTGGCAACGTGCCGGCTTTTGTATGTTTGGTTTTGGTTGGTTGTCTTAAAGCCTGTATAAAAATCTTACCAGAAAACACACAAGTGGAAATAGGAAAAAGTAATGCATTTTCCTCCTATACAGGTGTCCATTCTTTTCCTCAAGTGCAGCCTAGCATACTCCTGCAGTGACTGAACTAATGAGCATTTAAAGAGTCCAACCCCACTTCAATTCTTGAAGTCAGAAAAAAAGACTTCCTTAAAACTTCAGAGAGTTTGCACAAGTTGAACTGACATCAAACCAGATCAGAATGTTATACAAATAAAAGGTGCTTTCTAAATCAAGTGTGAAATTGAGCAATAGGAAAAACAGCAGCAGCGTTTTACTTATGAGAAAAAAAAACCCAAACAAAATATCCCAGTTTGTCAGGGGATGCTCCCTTTCCTCTGGGAGCTTTGCTTCAAAGCTCCTACAACATAACACATTTATAATCAAATGCAAAATTAAAAACAACCAGCCCCAACACACACACACACACAAACTACCTCTCAAAAACCACTTCTTCAAACTATCAGCAAATATGGAACAGGAGTAGTTATCTCTTCTCTCCAATAATATTATCTTATTTAGTAACTAGTGGTTTGTTGTTTGTTGGTTTTTTTGTTTTGTTTTGTTTTTAAAATCACTGGACTAGATAAGTAAACCTGAGTTCTGCATTGATGCTCTTAGTGCTAATATTTTATTATCGACACACCATCACAACTCATCATAAGATTTGAATGGTGAAAGGTTGGGGTTTTTTTTGATACCTTCTTAAAAATAATGAGGAAAAAAACCCAAACAATAAGAAATAACTGAACACTGATAAAGTGACTCCTTATTTCCCACCCCTGGAATTCACAGATGGGAATTATTACCTGTTACTTGCTTGTCTGGAAGAGATGGGATTGGAATGGCTAATCCAAATTTAACCAGGAGACGTTCATACAACCAGTCAAAGTGCTTGTATCTGTGGTTGACAGATCGATTAGTGTTCTGTAAAAAAAACAGAACTCTGAATTCTGACAGACATCTACGGATGATGACATGAAACAAGTGTGACCAGAATAGTAAGTACGTGGAATGTAAATAAAATTTATTATTTAGAGGCTTGAATCTGTAATTACAGAAGAACTTTAAATGCTAGGACAAAGTAACTCTTTGGGGAAAAATGTGCGACAACTACCACTTACTCCTACAACCATGTTACCAAGTCACACAAACTGTTTTATTTATATGCACAAATGACCCATATTTGTGAGAGAGAAGATCCCTTTTCAGATACACTTACAGTGCAGGTCAGTTGATATTCAATGTAGCTCTTAAGACCATACATTTTAGAACCTTTCTTTGGATCTGCCACCACGCAGTCAAATGTAGAGGTAGGATAAACCCACATTGGGCCATAATCACCAATCTGTAAGAAATTGCAAATACTATCTTTAAATACATCATGTTGTACCGGCTGCAAACAAGGAAACAAATACTTCCTCTCTTCACTTGAAAGTTTCCACTGATTTCAGCAAGAGCTCCACAGTCAGGAAATAGTGGGGTTTCTCGCAGCCTGCGATGACTGACTACAGTTGTGTTTATCTTTTTCTGTATTTGACCATTTTTCCCAAATAGCAAAGGAATGGTGAATTCTAGGGATTGCTACTTCAACCACTTCAATTTCACTAGAACAGCATATATCTAGAAGAGTTTGTTTTTCAGATAGAACATGACCTCTCATGACTGAATATTGCAAACGTTTATGAATGTAGCTCCTGCATATTAGATAACTATCTAGACCACTAATAGACAGTGTAATGCATTTTCTCTGCCTCCCAATCCCAAAACAGCTTATTTTAACAATCACAAGTAATGTAGATCCACCATAAGTGAAAAACAAAAAATACTGAAAAAAATAAAAAAGGAGGCATTAAGACTTGATCCTGAAAAATCTCTCAATGATATATGAGCCTGAAATGTAGTCTACCACAACTTTAAAACACTTAAATGGTATACAGTTTTATTATGACAATTCTATTTCTAATTATATGTTCAGTATCAGTTTCTCTCGACCCAAATACATATAGCAACACTGAGGCTAAAAGTTAATTTGGGGAAAGAGGGAAGGGTGGGGAGAAAAAAAAAAAAAAAAAAACAAAAAAAATAAAATAAAAAAAACCAAAAACCAACACCAAAAAAAACCAACCAACAAACCAAAACCCAAACCAAACAAAAAAGACCCCAACCCACCAAAAAACCCCACAGACAAAAAAAAAAATCCCAAAACTCCAACCCCAAAACAAATGCAACACCCACACAACAAAGAACTATGCGCATGTCCCCAACTTACAATTATGGGAATTTTATCTTTGGGTTTTGCTAGCTGCTTTGCCAACAGATACTGTTCCATCCCAGGTTTTGCAAATCCAGGAAATCTAACAATAAAACAAAGTGATGTTTATTCCACACTCTCCTTCTTTTGACATATGCAGAACTACCTGCCACTATAGGGAAAAAAAAAATTAGTATTTCTCAAGTATTAGAAAATAATTGATGTGGATTACTTAACCAACCAACAATTTGCCCAGAAAAAGCAGAAATGTTTTAGCTACTATCTTCCAGTTTTCATTCGTGTAACACAGGCTCCTTCTTCCAAGGCCAGGTAGCTATTTGTGCTCTGCAGCCCATCAGAGCACACATAACAGGAGACCACATTCTCTGGAAATGCACACATACACGCGCGCACTCATGCACACCATCCTGCTGCTGTTTCAAATCAAGAGAATTTAATAATCACAGCAAACCGCAGATTTAGCAAGTGATTCTAAACATGAGTTATGCTAATTAATTTATCCACCAATTAGCAAGAATATCACACAAAAATCACTGTAATGTCCTCAAAGTCTGTGTAAAAAGCCTTACAATAAGCAAATGGTGGTTCTCTTTCTAATTAGGAAGATACTTAGCCCTTCAAGTACTGCCAACTTGCTGCCTGCTTGCAGAAACACAAGGAGTATAGTAGGACTTACTTCACAGACAAAATGCTCTTAAATAAGGTATGTTCATGCTGGTTATGCAAAATGGGTTTGCAATAAGTAGATGCCACAATGATGCAAAGCTAGTGTTGCAAAACATGACAAAACCTCCATTGATGAACAAAATCAACTGCCTCTGCATGGCTAGTTTTTCATTTTAGTTACCTACTCAAGAAGGTCGTTACTCTACTGTACAATCCTTTTCCACTCTGCTTTCATCTGCTAAAGATCACCACACAGTAGCAGAGTAACAGTAGTTTTAGAATAAACAAACATTAAGTTGTAATATAAGATAATGCTGGCATAACTCTGACGAAGCTTCATGGTATTGTAAGATTTTTATCTTAAAAAAATATCGCTTTCTGTGGCTCAAGAATCAAAGTCTGATCCGTCTTGCGTACAGCCAGGACAAGCCATCCATCACCTTTCATTTTCACTAAGCACACACAGTGTTAAAGACAGTTAAATGTTAAAGACCAGTAGGTCCAGAAGTTTAGATCTTGCAAAAGTATCATTTGCCTGTATAACACCTCCAAAAATTAGACAGCTTTGTCATGTGCTTTCAGGCTTTCATGGATCTGTTCTCTGATCACACAAGGAGAATGCTGAGCTGCAAATTCATCTCCACTTCTACCTCAAAACTCTAATATTTAAATAGTGTATTTCAAGAAGGTTGAATGGTCACACATTTACATATCTTGACAAATTCAATTCTCTTCAACGTATACACTTTTGCCCTGCATTTTCCATTACTTGTTAAGCGGTAACTTCATAGCAGCTCCACGAGAATTTCCACGTTGCATCCCCGCAGCCTCTGATGCCTCAGTCTCCTTGTAACCAAGGTATGACGGTGAAGTTGATTTTGGGTCATCCCAGTCATCATCCCAATCATCGTCATCAGCAGCTGCTGAAGTACAGGTGGTGGGGAAAGGAGAAAGTTAATTTTTTTCTTTTTATAAAGCAGAAGCAGCTATCTCAGCACTCATATACCAATAATCAACAAATTAATATTAAAAGCTATGATTCCTCCTGAGTTACCACCATCCCCACCAAATACAATCTGCAAAACACTACACTAGAAATCCACTGAGGGAGGGAGAGGGGAAAAAAAAAGAAAGGAAGAAAGAAAGAAGATATGCTAATTGTGTTAAACCTAATTCAATAGTGTTCCATATTCACAGACTCTACGTTAGCATTCCCCAATTATGACTTCTCTTAATTTAGGCCTTTACTGCAAAAAGGTAGAGAAGCTTTCTGAAAGGCTAGCCACTTCCTAAAATTAAGTATTTAAAAGGCTACTTCTTCAAAAGCCTGAGGGCACAAATTCAAAGGTCTTTAAGTACCAGTTATGCAAGCTGAACAACATGCCTGAGAACAGATCATATATTTGGCTTGCCAGATTTTCATGCAAGTTTAAGGTGTCTGTTACTGTGGATCTGAGTTTTTAAAAAAAATTTTATTTTAAAAAACCCACATTATTTCAGTGTCAAGCTTACCCATGTGGCAACGTGCTACTAGGAAACTGTTTTTGTTTTCTTTTTTAAATAAGCCATGTTCTATAGTTAAAGATTAAGCAATTCTTACCTCTATTGTCCATTTACTTTCATTTATCCAAAAATAAAAGCATTATTAGCATACCTGGTCCTTGATATGCCTGTGGATGACCAAATGCTGCTGCTGCCTCCCAGTTATTTGAAGCATTGTGTCTCTGGCCAACTGCACTTTCAGGTTTTGTCGCCCAGCTGTCAACAGCATTTCCATTATCCCAGTTACCAGACTTCCCAGCATTCCAGCTGGACCAAGGATCACTGGCATTGTTTGCCTATATCGTATAAAGACAAAAATAAAGAAGAAATTGCTGAAGAAATTAGCAACAACCATGTACTTTCTTCTTGAAGTCTCTGACCTCCTGCTGTTAGGCTGTGAGCTTGCATTCAGAACTTCACTTGTTTGATTCAGGAGCAGCTGCCAAATCTTACGTTCCCAGCTATGCAGCTCTTAAGTGCAGTGAGCACCTGGAAGAACTGATCTGCTTTCCAGCAACATGACACCAATACATACTAATAAGGATGTTACATCTCCTCAGGGAAATTAAACTATTTGTTCCAACAGTGTTAGGAAGAACTCTTACCCATGGTAATTATTTTACACCAACACCATAAGTATGGTGTGCATGAGCTATTAATTACATAAAGCCCTGGACTAATTAGCACATTTAAAACAGGAAATCAAAAGTCAACTATTAGGTTTTTCCAAATGCTTATTTTATCAGTCTCCGATTAGCTGTCTTACTAAAAGCAAATCTCAAAATGCCCACCCACACCACCTCTACTGGTGTGGCAGTTAAGGCCAACAACCTGTTCAGCTTCCCTGTCAGAGCTTAATTAATTCACAGCAAAGACGAGGGAAGGAAATAAACGTCTGCCAGAAAACAGTCTGGCATTTCCCTGTAGACCTCCTCTCTCAGCATAAGCTTCTGGTGAAGGTAATCGCACGTACCCTTCTGCTGATGCTGCTGTGGAGGTGGAAACATCAGTGACAGTGTAGAGCAGACATGGCTCTAACTACTGCATCAATTTGTCAAGTTCATGTGTCAGTAAGGTGGATTAATAGTGTAGCATACTCCTCAACTCCTCCATTCTAACACTATACTTTGAAAAAGCATTGACTAGTTAAGCGCAGTCTACTCCAGACACTCAGTGCAGAGACTAGCAAGCAGAAAGAAAAAAAAACCCACAAAAATCAAAACCCACACACCCACAGCATAGGAGGAAGAAGGAGAAGGAAAGCAAACAAAGCCTACAACACTTGTCTTGTTCAGCAGAGGGAGAAACCAAGTTTCGTAAAAGGAAGTCTCAAAACCTACAGAAGCCAGAGCATTATTTTTATCACGTAGCAGCATATCAAAGAAGGGGTGCCTGATATGTTAATTGCTATTAGACTGTAACATTTACATGAACCGTCGAACATTTGTCAGTACAGAAAATTTAATAAAACTACTAGAGGCCAAATTATTCTCTGCAAAAGTGTTGAATAGGTTTGTTGCTTATACAAAATAGATGAAAAAGGTACAGCTACTCCATACTCCATTTTTCTCCACTAAAAATTCTCTCCTCTCATTTCAACTTTGAGATACTACTTAGGAATAAAAACTTTCACTGTTGTTTTTCCTAAAATAAAGTCATCTGACAGTCAGGTTTGACAGACACCATCAGACTTCTAAGACTTGAAAACACTACTGATACCATATAACACCAGTTCTTTAGGTACAGAATCCCCAAAAATTAAGAAAAAAATTAAGACCAAGCCCCCAAGCTGTGGGGAAATCACCATTCAGAAGACTCACAAGAGTCACAAGAAGAGTTCTCTAGGAACTGATGGAGTGAGAGAGATTATGTGGACAGCTTCTATGTTTGGGGGATGTTTCTATAGTTTGGGGGATTTTTTTTTTTTTGAGGATGAAACTGAGCAGTATTACTGGGGTTTACCCAATTCTTAGATAGCTGATACACAGTGCTACTACCACCAATTATAAAGAAGCTGCTTACAGCTTATACCAGCCTGTTCTTCCTATGATGTTCACCTGATATGAGTCAGAGTTCATAATCTTTGCTAAAGGAAAACACTTATGCTGGGGCCCAGCCACATAAGAAAGCATGCCTGCTCCTCACATAACTCAGAGCACCTAGAAAAGAATAGTTTGCATAATATTCATTTGCATCTACTTCTGCAATATACGTTGTGCTGATCACTAGCAAATGAGAGCCCTGAAGTGGGATGGTTGCCAAAAGGCTGAGTAAAGTTTTCCTCTTCTCTGTAGTTCCTGTGAAATCTGGTACATGAGTGGGTGGCAAAGAAACTTTTAAAATCTGCTGCAAAACAAGTGAGAGCCAAGAGTATTAACATCAGGTACACTACTAAACAATGACTCTCAAGAGTCACAGAATCTCAGGAGTTGGAAGGGACCTCGAAAGATCATCCAGTCCAACCCCCCTGCCAGAGCAGGATCACCTAGACTAGGTCACACAGGAACGCATCCAGGTTGGCCTTGAATGTCTCCAGAGAAGGAGACTCCACAACCTCTCTGGGCAGCCTGTTCCAGTGCTCTGTAACCCTCACAGTAAAAAAGTTTTTCCTCATGTTCACATGGAACCTCCTATGCTCCAGCTTGCTCCCATTTCCCCTTGTCCTGTCATTGGCTATCACTGAGAAGAGCCTGGCTTCTTCCTCCTGACACTCGCCCTTTACAAATTTATAAACATTAATGAGGTCACCCCTCATTCTCCTCTTTTCCAAGCTAAAGAGACCCAGCTCCCTCAGCCGCTCCTCGTAAGGGAGATGCTCCACTCCCTCGATCATCCTTGTGGCCATCATCAAGAGTGATCATCATCAAGTTTGCACGCAGTTGCTGATGTACACTCAATGCTGTTCAGCAAGGGGAAATGGATTACTTCAATTGCCCTCTCACATATCTTATCTCTATGTAGTTATATGGAAGCTCTATTCAAATTTGAAAATTTTACTTCTGAGGTGTCCAAGAAAGCTCTAGGGTAAACTCTTGACCCCAGGTGTATTGCCCACAGGCTATAATAAATGGGTGGGATGTGCTATTCCCACTCCGCTTTCAGCCCAAAGGTCCACATTTCTCTCCAAGGCACTGGAGAAGAAGATAAGAAATTGGTTAGGAATGTATATACAGACAACACCTCTCAAAGAGCATTTACCCTACACACACACACACACACACACACACACACACACACACACACACACACTATGGACACTCAAGTGGTAGCCAAAAATCAGTAAATGTGGAAAAGGGCTTAGGGATCAGGCCTACCATCCTCAAGGTCTCATAGCACCATGAAGGACCAAGTAAAGCCACAGCAGCTATTAAAAGGGTAACCTCAGCTCCAGTCAACAGTTCTGTGGATCTCAGCAGCTGACAAATAGCTCTGTTTGAATAAAGCCCTATTAAGCCACAAGTATTTTGTAAGCCATTAAATTACATGTTCTCACACCCTTAGTTTTCCATAACTGAAATTGATAATACTCTGATCTCTCTTTAGACAGCACATAAAAGATGAAGAGTCCTTGGAAGAAGTTATTTAGTCAATATAACTTGATACAGCACACCTAACATCCAGCTACACAAGCAACCTCAAATGCAAGAACACAAAAAGAAATACCACACTGCATATAATTAGGGAACTAATGAACCTTCAAATGAAACATTGCATCTCTTTGCTCCTCAAGATAACATCAAACAAGTACACTGAGATTAAATTCATTGATAAACTCCTTAAAGGCAGCTGATCTTCCCTTCTATAGACTATTACAGGACTTGGTCGCTCCTACTGTTCTAGAAGAAAAACCACCACAAAGGTTATTTGGGGAACAGACAGCAGAGGGAACACATTACTAAATATTTTAAGAGTCTTCCATTAAGGGCAGATTCAGACTCACTCCAGAAACAGATCGTTACTGGTGGGGGGATAACATGTTTCTAAAGATCTAATTATAGTTGAACGATAAAAAATTTCCACCACAGCAGAATAATCCTCAGCTTCGGAGTGGAATGTCAGTATCTTTACCAAATGAATCATGAATTAGATAAGAAGAAGTGACATTTTTGCCATTTTCCAGTGAATCCAAAGTCAAAGACAGTAAAGCCAAGATAATCTGCTAAGGCATCTCTCTGCCCAGGCTAAAACTCTTTTTGACATCTTGGCCAACTAAGTTGTTCTTGGCAGACTCTTTCCTCTTATTAATGAATTCTCCTAATGGATGAATAGATCCATTCTATTCCTGAGGGACAAAAGCCAACACAAGCATGATGTTCACATGCTAAAACAAAGCTCACTACCCAAAAAGATCTACGTAACTGTCATCAAAAATTATAATCTCTGTGAAAAATACACCTTGCAGTCTACTCAGAGATGGGAGCCATGATGAAGCACTGAGTAGAGAAAGTATGTTCAATCATTTCAAGGGAAGTCCAGGACAGCCAAAGCTGCAATAAGAAGTGTTATGCTCTTGAAGAGAAGTTGAGAAGAGACAGACTGCACAGAGGAATGGCAGAAAGCACAAGAAAAGTCATGGTGGCTCAGGTGAATTGCCCACAGGAAGAAAATACCTCTCCAGTTTTATAGCTGCCTCAGTCACTTGCATGGAGACAAAGCCTTAGGCAGACATTACACTAAACTGAAGTTGTCTGAATAGATACATAGAAAAAGTAAGTGAATATAGATAGTAACCCTTCAGGAAGAAATGTGAAGGGCTAAAAGCCTACCCTGCAGCTATCACAAAACCATATTCACTGTGCTGTATTTACCAGAGAGCAAGCATGCACATTAGCAAACAATGAAGAAGTTGTCATGCCCATTATATTTTATGTCAAAGCTTTCTTTCTGGTAAATCATTACCTTAGCACTGTGGTCCTGAGTACTTCTTTCACTCCTGAAGGAAGGCCCTCTTTTCTATTGTACAATTTAAACTTGTTTTCTCCTTAAAGAAATCCTATAGGGAAGCAAGAGGAGTGGAGATGGGCTAGATGTGATAACCAGCCTTATGGTTAAATACGTGAAAGCAACAGAAGATGGGACCTCCAGAAGCAGCTGACAAGAAGGCAGTAGCAATGCTGTCCAAGGAACCCATTTGTTCCTCAACTGCTGCTGTTATCTTGCTTCATTCCAGAGGAAACCATCATTCAGCATCTCCACTCCCAGCCCCACTGCCCCCTACATAAAGTTGTCCCTGCAAAGGAGCTGGGCTTCACCTGTTCACAAACCACATATGGCCAAGGTACACCCACTGGATGCT